GTAATGAGAAAACAAGGAGGAAAATGAGTGACTGATGACTTTCCTGTTGACCATCGTATGTAGACACAGGCATGGGTGAGAACATGAATTTCAGACACAAGGACTTTTAGGCAACTCTCAGGGGGAGTCACTGTTTTCTCCACCCAGGCTTTCCTCCTGAAATATCCCTATAAAAGGCAGAACTACCGCAATGTAATACACTCTGGATGTGGGAGACATGCCAGTGAGGACATTATAATGTCCACATGGTTACCCATTTCATTTCAGAGTCTTCATTCCAAAATATCCCCTGGGTGAGGCTTTCTCTTGAATTCATTCATTCTTCAAGTCAGTTTTTGGTGCAAGGTACTTTTGGCACTGAGAGGAACAGAAAGATGAATGAACCACATTTGTTTCCTAGTAGGCAAAGCCCACACAAGTCTATCAAAAGTAAATATTAGTCAACAGGTGCTCAGAAGAGGTGAGCAAAGTGCATTTTCCCCTGTGAGCTTATCAAAGAGGACTTCAGGAAATCGGTGGCATTCGAGCTGAGCCTTGAACAACAGGCCAACTTTTAAGTGGCAGAGAAGCAGTGGGGCAATCCAGTCATAAGCAAAATCAGTCCCAGTGAGGGCTTGAGAGTTAAGGCAGGTAAAACAATTTGGCCAGAGGGTGAGGTGCCTGTCAGAGAAACAGTGGGAAGGAGGGAAGGCCTACCATGTAAGCTTAAGCCAGGCCGTAGAGGCCAGAAAGTGGAGACAGTCAGAGCAGTGGGATTGCAGAAGAGAGGCTGGCAGTGGGGCAGCAGTGGGAACACCGCAGCATTGCAGATGAGCAGAAACGGGGGCCTCAGCGAGGGCGGGAGTGGAAAGGCAGGCAGAGACTCAAGGAACTGCCAGGTACCTTATTAAGGGAATGCGGGGGAGAACAACCCTAAGGCTTGGCTCCTGAGTGACTAATGGGCAAAGATGTGGGGGAGTCAAGATGGTGGCAGTTCATCGTTACAGAATCCAGGGGAGCTCAGTGGCCTCCTGAAAGGCAGCATGATCCACGCAGAATCTAAGCTGGTGCAATTACAGGCGCACCAGGAGATAAGCCCATTCATTTTCTTCTCCTCAGGCAGTTCCATGCCAGAGCTTCCCCAGGCAGCTGAGCTAGATGGGTATCTAGGAAAGAAGATTCTTCTCCCTCCAACCCCATTTTAATAGTTTTCGCTGGAGAGTTTACTTGTGGATGATCTAAATCATCCTGCCCCAATCTCTTTTCCTTTGCCGTTAAGACAATACAAGCAGAGCACATAACACCTACCCTCACTCTTTGGTTCTTTGTAAGAAGTGTCCGTTCTCTGACTAGTTGATACCATCATTTTACATCCTTTTGATGCGGGGTTGGTCTATACATCATATAAGGATTGATAAGCAGTTACCTAGCTATTTGGCTAGTGATGCAGAATGTCCTTAAGCTACTTTGTATCACCAGTTAATACATTTAATATTTCATGTTATAAGCCAACATGCAAGAAGTGACTTTTAAATCTTTCAGCTCATATATATTTTCATCTGGGAAGAACATTTTATTAGTGTATTTGATATCATCTCAAGACTTAATAGGGGCTTAATTCTATTAATAAAAACTAATTAAAAAATCATCATCCTTTTAAATTATAGCTTTTGATTTAGTTCTTTCCTGCTTGGGAAATAATGATTGCTGTAGCTGTCATACAGCCAGTCCGTAGCTAGCTTTGTTCTTTTTAGAGTTATCAGTTATTTGCTAAGGGAAGTTGATTAAAAGTAACAGCCTCACAGCTCCCTTTGTGGCCCCACGACTTAGCCATAGCTCAGCTTGTCAGAGATCTGGGCAGATATTCAGCCTCAAATGAAGCTGTCCACTTCTTCTCTTCCACAGTCACCATCTTCAGCCCACAGGAGCCATGTCGAAGGCAACTGAAACTGAGTGGTCTGCCAGCCTCACCTGTGATGGTCCAGGTCATCTCAGTTTCATTCTTATTGGGCCTGATCCTGGAGACATTCCTACTTCTGGCCCTTCTAGGTCCCAGAGAATGTGGGATGCCTTCTGTTGGTATTAAGTGCCTGGCTCCTCAAATTTCTTATCATTCGAGTTCTGGAGATGTAAGGCTGCCAGGTCTAGGGACACCAGAGACCATCTGGTTCTTGACCTTTGTGTCCACAGGAAGGATGCAGAGCTGCTCAGTGTCCAGTAGAGCAAGTGGCCTAAGACTTATGTATTAGAACTTAGTATGGGATGGCTGCTGGCAAGGAAGGAGTAGGGAATGCGGACTGAAGAGATGTCACATCTCCCATCTAGATGTTCAGTTCCTTGGGATAAGGCTGCAAGCACCCTGAATATCCCTGTAGAGGTTTGCTCCTTGCCTGAAAGCAAACCACCAGGGGGAGGACAGGATGCCTGTCCGTTCACCAACAAACAGCCTCGGGCCTCCCAGACCATGACGGCTAATAAGGGCATTGCCATAGTCACCAAACATTTTCAATTACAGGGAAAGCGAGCTTGTTTCAGTGTGAAGCCAGAATGCATCGATTACAGAAAGTCTGTAGTTTGATCTAGCCCTGGTTCCAACTAGGAAAGCTTTTGAGCCACCACCAACCCCCCCCCAAAAAAAAGGAAAGAAAGAAAAAAGCAGTAGCCAAGAGTAAACTAGCTAAGTAGCTGCCAAGAGAACAATTGAGTTTTTCCCTCACATGGTCTCATATATTAAAGTTAGCAGAACGTGATTGAAAAATAAGCATATGACGCTCCTATGGCTCTTTTCTTTTAAGGAAGAAGCCTCAAACCAGTCTGTCTTAAGGGAAGTTGGTCAAAGCAATGGTGAAGCAGGAAGGTCAGGTGATTTTGAAAAGTTAAAACATTTCTAATTCATCAAGGCTTACTAATTTTTAAATTAAAGCACTTTCACTTGCATCCATACTCTTTACTAAGAAAGAAAATTGCACATAGTTGTAAATGAAATGGGCTCTGATTAAATGAATTTTCGATCTCAGGTAAAGACAGAGGGCTTACCCCATGTTTATACATAACCATAAAATTGTTGGCTGGAACTGAAAAGGCTCATGAAGATGTCATTATTATTTAGGTACTTTGTCTCAAAAATATATTTCTGAAGAATTTTTCTGCATCTTCTTATCAGTGAGTGTGTAACTCTATTAATGTGCTTAACAAGTTAAAGTAAGATTTCTCAGTCTGTTGCCATCGAACAAGTCTTCTGTACAGCTGTGAAAACAAGGGCAGGGATGAAAAGCTCTACTAAAGCTCTGCATTAAGATAGAGGGGTTCCCTAGTCCAGCAAAAGGTGGGGTTGGAGTCTGAGGAGATCCTGGTGCCACTGTGGGTGGTTCTCACACCTGTCATTTTGTCCCTGGAATGGCAGTGACAACAACCAACCTGTCTTCCTCATGGCTGTGTTGGGAGAGGAAGAAAAAGTCTCTACTCTCACCCTACACACAGACACACACACACGCAGACGCACAGACAACTCCTACTTAAAGCTGCAATATTGCCATTAGAAATAGTTGATGACAGTCTCAGAAAGAGAAAGAATGCCCCGGGAACTCTGGATCCTGAAAAGGGAACATTAATAGTGCTGTAAATTTGGGGGGGAGAAGTCATATTATCTTAATGAATGTTTCTCATAACATAACGGAATAAATAAAGATGACGTCCTCATAATAGAAGTACAAGTTATGACACAAATTACGCCCTTTTCCCATTTGCCTTTAATGAAGCTACCCTGAGAAGATGAAAGAGTAAAGAGAGTGAGCTTGAACTTGAAAGAAATAAGATTTCTACCTGAGTAACTGTCTTGGTCCACTCATTGTCATCATTGTGTTTTGCATGTGCTTTAGGTTAGAGTCTGGCAAAAGTCCAACTTAGTAAAAATAATAGTGACACTGATAGTACATTAGTTCTTGGTATTTAAGTTTTTGAGACTGAAACTTTTACACCTCTTAAGGTTTCTAATGGTTTCCCCTCCATAAACTGAGGGTGCCTGTGACCAGGGAGAGGCATTACCAGCAAGGACTGATTGGCCTTCATTCACTCTTTCCTAAAACAGCAGCATGACAAACTGACCGTGAGGACACTGGCCGCACACTGGTTAAAACTTCTTGGACTTGCTTGACCATTCAAGCTTAGATGCTAAAAAAGAAGGTGCTGACAGGCCATCCTTTAGGACTCTCTGAACCCAGAACCCTAATCTAGCTTTGACCAATTCTTTCCACCCCCAGAGGTCAAGAGAGCAGCTGTACTTCTTTAAAAGATTATTCTAAAATTTTAAGTTTCCAGTACAACTTCCTCTTGATCTTCAAGGCTGATAGGAAGCTCCAGAGCACAAATCCCCCCCAAAGATGTGTCCCATCCCAGACTCCACCTGCCAGACCCAGAATCAGCAGGGTCCATCTGGCTCACCTGGGGTTATCTGCAGCCTTTTCTTTAACCATTTTTTATTAACATACAGTCAGCTTACAATGTTGTGTCAATTTCTGGTGCACAGTATAATAGTTCAGTCATACATGTACATACATGTATTCTTTTTCATATTCTTTTTCATTATAGGTTACTATAATATACTGAATATGGTTCCCTGTGCTGTACAGTAGGACCTTGTTTATCTCCTTTGTATATAGTAGTTAGTATTGGCAAATCTTGAACTACCAGTTTATCCCTTCCCACCCTCCTTCTCCCCCAGTAGCCATAAATTTGTTCTCTATGCCTGAGTTTGTTTCTATTTTGTAAATAAGTTCATTTGTATCTTTTTTTTTTTTAAGATCCCACATGTGTGGTATCATAGGGTATTTTTCTTTCTCTTTCTGGCTTCACTTAGAATGACAATCTCCAGGTCCATCCATGTTGCTGCAAATGGCATTAGTTCATTCTTTTTTATGGCTGGATAGTATTCCATTGTATAAATACACCACAGCTTCTTTATCCAGTCATCTGTCAGTGGACGTTTAGGTTGTTTCCATGTCTTGGCTGCTGTAAATAGTACCTCTGTGAACATTGGGGTGCATGTACCTTTTTGAATTAAGGTTCTCCCTGGATATATGCCCAGGAGTGGGATTGCTGGATCATATGGTAAGTCTATTTTTAGCTTTATCCAAGGCCTCTTATACCAATTTCATTCACTAAAATGTAGCAAAAATTTCTTACTCTTTTAAGGAGTTGTTGTCAAGTAATACAGGTAAGGAAAATAATATATCCCACTGTCTATTTGTATAGTGTATCTGTTTCATACAAGGCAACTTCAAGTAGTTTAATAAGAACTTTAAGAAGGAAAGTAGTTAACATTTAACAGTGATGGAAACTGAGGCCCACAGAGGTTAAGTGGTTTGCCCAATGTCATACAGCTAATAAGCAATGGACAGTGTGCTGGAACCTGTCTTCTGACTTCAAAGCAGTGTTCTTTTCACTGAGTTGTGCCCGGCTGGCCTGATTCAAAGGCTTTACTCAGCTCGTTTCAGGGGATGCTGGTAGATTCCTGCATATTGTATACATTGATGTATTGATGGACTCCAGGGTCTTGAGGGTCTGGCAGTCGTGTCAGTTGGCTGTGTTTGGCATCTCCAGGGGTCACCAGCTGTAATACTCTGGATGTGGAGAAAGCTGACTCGTCAGAGTGATTCCAGGAGATTCAGTCCAGTCAGGCCTTCAGAGAGTCTCCAGGGGAGAGTTTTGTGGTTAACCAGTAATAACGACAGCATCTAACTCACTTTGCATTTACTTCACATCGACTGTGTGTCTGGCACTCTCACGGCGCCTTGGTTATTGAGCTCACTCAGCCTTCATGCACACTCTGTGAGGTGCGTACTACAACTACCCTTGTTTCACTGGTAAGACAGCCAAGGCTTAGAGAGCATTGGTTGGCCTTGATCATGGAGGACGATCAGAGACTGGAACCAGGGCAATTTGACTCCACAGCGCAGACTTTTAAAATACTGTCTTAAAAAGCAACAGGCACCCCCATTGGCTCAGGGCCTGTGACGTTAGCCAGAACAGGAAAGAGCTGCCATTTTCTTAGCACGACGAAACTATTGTGTTGTTCCTCTTTGGGTCATTTATCGAAGTATGTCAATGTAGCCAAAGAACGTATTCCTCAACCACTGGGAACCCGAACAAAGGCTGCATGACCCTGACTCTTTGGGGTCAAGAGCAGAACTCTTCAAAAACCTTATTAGAGGAAAGAGAGGATAAGGGAAATAAAATTACTGAGCTGAGATCAGGAGGTGCCATTTAGGACCCATGTTTTCTGTACTCACAGATGATTTGAGTGTGTATTTTAATGCAATCACCCTTCAGCTTTAAAAACAGACCCCGGTAAAGGGAGCAGCTTTGCCTGCTCAGTCCTTCCTTTCTGACCAGCCCGGGGGCTGCAGGCCCTGTGTCCACAGAAAGGCGTCGCCACTGCCGCTCATTCGCTCCCCGCCAGACCTCTTCACCTTGTCCGCAGAGAAGCCTCACCTCTTAGAGTAGGGTTCTGTGAGATAGTAATGATGATGATTTTAGAAGGAGGGCTTATTTAAAGAAGGCCCATTAAATGAACTACTCAGAAGGATAGCAGAGCTTGGAATCTGGTAGATTCTGACCTCTGCTTTCAGGCTGGCCATTCAGGGAGCTGGGTTTCCAGGTTGATGGGAGCCTCCACTAGGGCAGAGGACTCTCCAGCTTCATCCTGCAGTCTCAGGTGACTGGCCCTGAGGGAATGTGGCCAGTGGATTTTCCTTTACACTGGTGCTCACAATAAAGCACGCAGGCTTCAGGTAAGAAGTAGACATGGCCACTGGTGCTAAAACAAAAGAAGCCTCAGGTGCTTCTGTCCTCCCCCACTACCATACAAAGTGGAGCAGCTGATGGAGGGATCAAATGATGCATAGGACTCAGGAGGGCAATGAGCTTTCTCCCCAGCTGCTCACCCTCCACTTTGGGCACAGTGGCAGGTGTAGGCATATCTTCAGGCTCCAACAGAATTATCTAGACTCCTGACAGATGACCTACCAGAAGACCAAAGGATTAACACTTCTCCATCAGACGTTTAGCATTTGTTTATTTCTGTGCAAATCACCAGTCATTCCTGAGTCGAACCATATTGAACACAGAGTGATGTAACAAAAGGTAAACGTGAAGAGCATCTAATCTTCTCAGGTGAAAAGTACGTGATTCCCATTATCCCCGTAAGGCCCGCCAATTCTGAGGTGGCCCCGGTTGCAGGTTGGAATCACCTGCCAAGTTTTATAACAAACCCACATCTGGGTCCCATCACCAGAGTCCGTGATGAGTCCGGGTGCTTCCGCCGGGGGATTCTCCTGTGCCTCCAGGCTGAGACCCGCTGCTCTACTTGGACTGGAAGTGGAGGAGGACATCCTCATTCCCAGTGTAGTTTCTGGCCTCTGAACCCCTGTAGGTGACCTTGCCAACTCAGGGAAAGTTGAGCAAGAGGTAGGATGGGGCGTGCCTCTTCCCTCCCTAGGGCTGAGCCGGCCAGGGTCTGGGATCACAGGGAGGAGGAGCCTGCGGCCCCGCCGGGAGACCGCCGTGGGGTGCTCGTCCTTCTCGGGTCCTTGTGGGGCACCGAGCTCGCCTCTCTGCTCCTCCTGTGCTGTGGTCTGCGGAGAGGGTGGGAAAGACCTGGAATTACGCTCTAACCCCTTCTTGCTTGCATGGGTCCCCCAAAGGAAGTTGCTTACCCTCGGGCGCTTTCCATTGGAAAACATATACAAACATACCTCCCAGCCAACGAGTGCACCAACGGGATGTCTCGGGAAAGCTCTGGCGAAAGGAGCTCATTTGCAGGGTTATTAGCATTACGAGTAATGACTTCCCTGCTAAAGTCTAACTCCTGTGTTAGAACGGCTGCACGTGTACTGGGAGTTGTCATATGAACGACTGCCCACACACGAACGTGAGCATTAATCTCGTGGCCTGCGGAATGGTACTAGCCGGTCGCTATGAGGTTCATCTCTCAAAACTGCTGATTCAGAATGCAAATCTCAGGTGGCAGTTAGACGGTCTGATCGCCTCCACCGAGGGTAAGGCCGAAGAATTAGCAGTGTCTTAATTACTCATCTGTGGGTCTATACTCTTCAAGGCTGAGCCAGAATGCAGGAAGCCTATTGCCCTGGAAGAACCCACTACATTTTCCAAAAATTTCTCCAGTTCATTTGTTTCAAGCACCTTTGAATTCCTTTGGCATAATCGCCCTACCCTTTGTCAGCACAAAGCGCTTGTTTAAACGACTCAATCAGATCATGCCATGGGCGACTGTTTCCACTTATTATGATGAACTGCCTGTTTAGCACCAATGTGCCAGGCACATTCAACAGAAGAGGAAGCTTCAAAAATGATTTTTCTTTCTGCTATGGAGGCCCACAGAATAAAAACAGCCTGCTCAGAGTAAAGAAAAGATTATCCTCACTGATGAGGATCAGTGAATGAGGACATTTGGGAAAGCAGGTTGAATTTTCCAGATGAAAAACAACAAGACTTCCTTCTTGCCATTGATCCTCCTATTGACCTAGGACATAGAGTAAATTGATTAAAGAGACAGTGAATTTCTGCTTTTTCACAGGCCAGGAAGAGATTTCTCATGGATAAACGAATGTCAGAAAATCCCACTGAAGGCAGGAGTCTGGTACTGTTAGTCTTCATCCCAACGGTGGCACCATAAGGCACTGAATAAACACTTTGTTAGATTAATTCAATGTGAGGCATCAGACTGATTATTCCCAGCACTAATCACAGCTGTAATTTAGAGCATCAGGTTTTTTTCCCAGCAGCTTTTCAGGGAGGAGATTGTCTTTTTTTTTTTTTTTAAAGAAGTATGAGCAGTTTACAGTGTATCATTTTGTGGTGTACAGCATGAAGTTTCAGACATGCATATAAATACATTAATTCCTTTTAAATTCTTTTTACTATAGGTTACTACAAGACACTAAATATAGTTCCCTGAGCTATACATTAGAAACATGTTTATTTTATGTACAGAGTATATGGAAGTATCATTTTTCCAATTTATTCCTCCTCAGCACCCCCCCAAAGATAAGTTTGTTATCTCTCTGTGAGTCTTTCTCTTTTGTAAATAAGTTAATTTGTCTCTCTCTCTTTTTTTAAAGACTCCACTAAATGATACATGGTACTTTTCTACTCTTTCTGCCTTCCTTCACTTAGAATGACAATCTCCAGGTCCATCCATGTTGAGGCAGATGGCCTTATTTTATTTTGTTAAAGCTGACTAGTATTCCATTGTATAAATACGACAACCCTTTATCCAGTCATCTGCTGGTGGACATTTAAGTCATTTCCGTGTCTTGGCTATCGTAAAAAGTGCTGCTGTGATCATCGGGATGCAGTTACCTTTTCAAAGTAGACTTCCCTGATTCCTAGGATACATGCCCAGGGGTGGGGTTCCTGGATCACATGCTAAGTCTATTTTTAGTTTAATGACGAATCTCCATACTGTTTTCCATAATGGCTGCTCCAAACTACATTCCCATCAGCAGTGTGGGAGGGTTCGGTTTTCTCTGCACCCTCTCCAGCATTTATCATTTGTGGACTTTTTCTCAATGGCTGTTCTGAGTGGTGTGAAGTGATATAGCTCCTTGTAGTTCGGATTTGCACTTCTCTGAGAAGTAGCAATATTGAGTATGTTTCTGTGTGCCTGTTGCCCATTTGTAGGTCTGCATTGGAGAATTGCATATTTAGATCTTTGGGCCGTTTTTGGATTGGCTTGTGGTTTTGTTAAGTTGTATGAGCCGTTTGTATTTTGTGGAGATGAAGCCCCTGTCACTTGCATTGTTTGCAAATATTTGCTCCCATTCGGTAGGTTGTCTTACTGTTTTATCATTTCCTTTGCTGTGGAAAAACTTATGAATTTAATGAGGTCCCACTGTTTTTTGTTTTTTCGTTTTTTTGCTTTTATTCCCATTGCTTGTGTTGATTGCCCTAGGAGAAAATTGGTCAGATTTATGTGGGATGATGGTTCACCTGTTTTCTTGCTAGTGTTTCCCACATTGTTTATTTTGATGTCCTTTTTTATGTCTTTATGTTTATTCTCTTGGTGTTAATTATAGATACTGCGTTTCTAACTGTGGCTTTCTCTTTTCTGTAGATTCATGTGTTCTTATTTATAGAAAATGGTTTAGTATTTCTTGTAGGATAGGTCAAGTATTTATTTATATTCTTTTAATTTTTGTTTGAGAAGTTCTTTATTACTCCTTGTATTCTAAAGTATAATGTTTCTGGGTAGAGTATCCTAGATGTGGTCTTTTTTCAAATTTAATTGAAGTGTAGTCAATTTATTTGTCAGTTTTCGGTGTACATCATAATGTTTCAGTCCTACATATACATACTTATATTTGTTTTCATATATTTTAGGTTGCAGGTTTTTCTCATTCAAGACTCTGAATATAGCCTTCCACTCCCTTCTGGCCAGCAAGTTTTGTGTACAGAAATCAGCTGATAGTGTTACATGGGGCCCCTTGTAACTTAAGTTTTTCTCTTGCTGTCTTTAGAATCTTTTCTTTAGCTTAATTATAATATGTCTTGGTCTGTTTGGGTTTATCTTTGAGGGGACCCTCTGTGCTTTCAGTACTTGGATGGAAGTTTCAGTCATGACTTCTTCAAATACCCTTTCAATCCCCTTTTTTGTTTCTTGTCCTTTTGGGACCCCTATTACGTGTAAATTGGCATGCTTTATATTATCTCTTAGGTCCTTATGTTGCTTTCATTTTTTTCACTTGCTTTTCTGTCTGCTGTTTCAATTGGGTGGTTTTCCTGATGCCAGTGCTGCTTGTCCATGGGACACTTTGAATAGCAAGGTTTTAGCATTTCATACAATTTTCTGTCTAAAAATTTTCATAATGTGTGTAATGTTTTTTCATTGAGCAGGACAGTAATACAACAGAATGTAACTAAGTTTTATTATATCAAATGATGTCTGCGCTGTATAGATTTGTATACTGATACATACACATTTATTTCAAGTATACCAGGTCTTTCCACATTTCTCTCAATGATGAGGGTTGGTTGTGGTTCCATTTCCAAGAGAGGAGCGCTCTCCGACTGATGTATTCATTCTTCATTCATTTGCTGTTTGTTAACACTCAGTGTGGGCCCAGCACTGTGTTAAGACTGGGGTCACCACAGTCAACAAGACAGATCACAGTCCCTGTCAAAAAGGATTTGTATTTGAGAAGGGAAGAGACACAAACTGTGGTAAACATTGTGAAAGAAATAAAGGAGCTGAAATAGAAAATAACCACTCTGGAGGAGATGGTGAGAGAGGCCTGGCTGAGGAGTTGGCACTGAAGCTGAGTGGTCTGCTCATGTGAAGCAGCAGGGGGCCAGGTGTTTAGGCAACAGCTGTGCACACAGCCCGGGAGCCACTTCTCCGTCAGCAGCACGTGTCCTGAACAGAAGGGGGCTGCAGTGCAGGCGTGTCGCCCTCCTGGCTGAGTCTGCATCGCTGCCAGCAAATGCACCGCCGACCTCTCTGCCTGCCCGGCCTGTGTCTGGAGCCCTCACCCAGCTGCACTAGTGCTTTCTGCAGGGTTGCTGGCACACTAGGAGTTTTCTACTTGTGCACAGACCTGTAAAAATCCTAGGACCTGTGAAGCCATCATCTGCAGTGATTTGATAGTCAAATAGTGTTTTGGGTATTTCTTAGTTCAATTTTATTTCTGACTCCAACAAAAAGCCTTTTCATTTTAGCAAAAGATATTAAACATGCTGGAAATCAGCTATTACATATATCAGGCCAAAATGCTACAGAAATTGATACCCACTGGTTTGTTTCTAGGAAGACATGGGGCTTTGTTTGCAGAAATAAAAATTCATGGGCAGCCTTTTTCAGAACCCAGTTAAAAAGGAGAGCTTTAAGGTAAGGCATACGCACTGTCTGGACGGATGCCTCATGGGCTCAGGTCCTTTCTCAGGTGGGTTCTCCAGGAGGTGGATCTACCGGCATCTGTAATTGTTCATCCTTCTCTGGGGCTATAGCGCTGCTCCCATTGTCTTCTGCAGGATAAATGGGAAACAAGCAATAAAACTCACCTCGCCTTTTTGCTTCTCTTGGGAACTTTAAATAAAAGTGACATAAAGGCTAAAAGGGTGGAAGGGGACAAGCCGTGCTCAGCGTCACCTACCAGAGAGGCCCCCGTATCTCAAGCGGCACCCTTGCCTTACGTAAGGTCACTTTCCCTCATTGTACTCATCCATAGCAGACTTGTTATTATGACTTATTTGTAAATTAACTCTGAAAGTTAGGTCCACAAGGACAGGTATACTTCTAGTGCACTGATCTGTATAATGTAAATAGTAGATGCTCAGTAAGTATTTGTTCAAGGAAAATAATGAACTGCTGAAGACGGCAGGAGGGCAGGTTTGGTACTGCATGGCCAAGGCCATCTGCTGGCACCCATGCACCCGTCACGGCCAAGCAGGTACTCTTGGCAGGAAGGTGGTGGTCATGTGCCGTGACGCCATGAACACTGTTTCTGGCAATTTCTCAGAAACAAGTTAAAGTGCCTAGCCTTCCTCTGTGAGCACGTGAACATCAGCTGGTCCCACGGCGTCTACCTTGTACAGCCCCAGTCGCATCCTTTGGCCTTCAGAGGAGGCCTGCGGCCCACAAGACGCAGCGAGGCGGGGGCCATCCTGACTGCCTGCGGTGCTGGAGGGGATCCCTCGACTCTCTGACAAGAAAACGTGGATGGTGGTTCCTGCTGTCCTCAAGGTTGTGTGTCTGAAGCCTTCGTGAAAATTTGTCCACCTGGGACACTGGGCTCAGGAGGTTGGCTGGAGTGCAGAGGTGACAGCCACCCTGGAAGAGAAGAGGAAGAAGGCCCAGTTTCTTTACTGGAAGAAAGAACAGCTCGTGGGCTACAGCAACAAGCCGAGAAGGAGCCTCCAGACCCCGGGCCTGCTGGTCTGAGCCCAAAAATGACTATTCCTTGTGCCTGATCTGCCCTTCCTCCAGCGCCACCCTGGGATGTGGGGACCCATGGGCAGACACCCAAGTGCCATGGGCAGACACCCAAGTGCCACAGGCAGCCTGTTGACACAAAAAAGGGCCTTGGTCACGGCTTCTGATTGAAGTAACTTTTTAAAGAAAAGCCATTCTTAAACATCTCAGAGCTGTGCCAGCATAATTTGTCTATGACTTACTTGCTCATCAGTAGAAGGAACAGTTACTTCAGTTTCAGTATTTGCAAAAGTGAGCTTGAAAACTAATTGGAGGAGAACCCTGCATTGTGAGTAGGGCGTGTGTCTGAAACATCCCACACAGTCATATACGATCCTCTACCGCTGTCAGAGTAGAGGAGAAAATGCCTGTGGAGGCTGTGCCTGGTGTGGTACAAAGGTACTTACAGATTGTCAGGCTGGGGACACATGCATCCAAGGGGTTATGGGCACTGCCCTTGCTGCTTACCTGTATTTTGTGATCAGAAATGAGTATGTTTTTAAAGAGGGGGAGAGGATGGATAGAGCAGCTGGCTACTGGATCCCAACACAGATGAGAGGACAGTATTTTTTTTGGGAGGGGGGACACGTCTAAGGATAGCCTTGATAAAATATGGTAGCACGACGATTCTAGACACAAGAGCTTTCTTCCATGAGTTGATTTCTTTTTGAATACCCACAACTGTTAAAAAAGGGACTTTATTTCCTGGGGACGTGTTGATGGGGATACAGCTGCACGACACACAGTCTAGAAGTGAATTAATCTGACGCCTGAGTCGTGTCCCTGGACGGCTTACAGGGAACATCTTGTTTACGTACCCCAGGCGTGTGGATTTAACGAGTCCAAGAGCATCCTCTAACTCATTTCCCCTTCTTCCATCTTGGGCGAGAGGTGGCTGTAATCTGTCTCCATCATTTCTCCCATGAACCAGGTACGTTATGGTTGATTATTCTCATCCCTTATTTCCACTCTCTGCCATTTCAGACAGGGCTGTATTTCTGTGATGAAGAACATGATTCCAGAAAAGCTTTGAGATTAAAGATGCCTTCTAAAGATAAAAGTAAAACCTCTTTAATTCAGATTCCGTTAGCTCCATAAATTCAGAATTCATTATCAGTTTCATGGGGCTGAGACTTATCTTAGACCAGTGGTAAGGGAGGGAGGGAAGTTACTAAGCAAAGTGGTGGGGAAAACATTTGCTAGAGGTGTAACCAATTTAAAAAGACCCCTTCACACCAGGGTTAAAAACAGTTCAGCAGCAGTGAGCAGTGGGTATAGCTCAGTCATAGAGCACCTGTTTAGCATGCATGAATTTGAGTTCACTCCCCACTATCACCATATAAAACCAAAAAACCTAAATTACCCCCCCCAAAATATAATAAATGAACATACTTTTTTTTTAGAAGTTCATCAGGACTATTTTTTAATATTTTTTAAATTGAGGTATAATTACAGTAAAACTCACCAGTTTCGTGTACAATTCTACCAGTGTTGAAAAACCCGTACTGTGATATAATCACCACCATAATCAAGATACAGAACAATTCCATAATCTCCCCAGATTCTCTCATTCTCCACTGTGGTCAAGCCTCTGGCTACCACTGATTAGTTTACTTGTGTCTGTTGGAGACTGTCACATGAAGGGAATCACACAGTATGTAACCTTTTGAAGCTGCCTTTCACTTAGCATCTGCGATTCACTCATGTTCTTGGGTGTTTACCCAACGTTCTTCCTCTGCAAGTTGCTGGCTTACTCTTTCTGAAGACAAACGGGATCAGGCTCTACTCACGCGCTGAGGCTCCAGGTGACCAACACAGCCTGGGCAAGATTCTGGGAAGGTCAAGTCTGTCCTTCCCAAACTGGAAATGCGCTGCAGACATTTCCAGCCCCTTAGGCAAAACTTCCCTGTGCTTTTGTCTCCCTTCTGTAAAATCCAAATGCCAGCTACTAATCTAAGAAAGGAATCTATTAAAGAATCTCCCCTTTCTCCTTTTATTACCTGCTAATGGGGCTTTTTGCATTTTAACAGGGGCTTTTCAAGACTCTGCTTTTTTCCTGCAGTAGTTTTCAAACTGTTCTGTTGGAGCGTCAAAAGATTCCTGAAAAACGGTCTGAAAAGCCACTGTAGGTGGGCGTAGGGGCGAATGGCGAGACTTTGGACCCATCCAGCCAACCAAAGCAGTTACATTTTTATCTGTTACATACTGGGCTTTTCTGTAAGATTTTATTTGAAAAGAAGAATGTGTTGCTTTCTGAAACATGCTTGGAATAAATATACTCCATTATTATTAATAACCCTGTCTAGCCCTGAGATTTGCCCTCTCAGCCATGGAGGTAAAGTCTGCTACAGCTTTACTGCTGCTGCATCTTTGCATCAAACAAATATGGTCACAATGTTTAAAGTTATTAATGTTTATAATACCTAGTTTACATCTCTCTGGTAATAAAACTGAAACAAATACATGTTTGAAGGCCACTAACAATGCCTCCAGACTGGAAACAATGCTTCAGTAGGGGCAGAAGCAAAGTAAAATAATTTGTTCTCAAAATTTTTTAAATGCACATTTTTCTTATTTGTACTTTGTTACAAAAAGCAATCACCTCAGTGATGGTTGAACAGATCCAAATGAACCATTATGGTTTGAACACATCCTTAAAAGATTTTTGTTTTGAATACCACATGACTTCCCATTACTGTCCTTTGAGCTACAATAATCATTTTTATATTTTCCTATATTATTTTAAATTAGAAGAAAATACATTTCAGTACAGCTGCATCAGTATTCTCTAACCCAGCCAACTGTAGGTTGAACCAGGAACGGTTTATTATAAGAAGTAACACTTAACAAATCCATAGATCTCTTTGAAGAACTTGTATTCATTTGAGCAAAGGATGTAAAAAGTGTTTCCAATCTCTGAGTATTTTCAATTCAATTCAGATTCAGAGTGTGACACTGAAAGGAATATTTTTAAAGTACATATTATTATCCCCGTCCTTAAGAAATCTAATTTCATTATTCTCTGATGCCAGCTTGTATGTCCAGCATTTCCACAAATCAGAACCCTGTCTATGGTGACCGTTCAGGGTTCAAACACACATGGCATCTCAGAGTCTCCATCTGGAATAACGATGCTCTGCCCCTGACAGCCACGTTAGGGGGCGTTTCTGTCACTCTGCCCCAGAAAAGGTGGGCCCCATTTCTCAACCAAAATACCGGCCAGCAAAGGGGTCTCGGGGCGGCGTTTCAGCTGAGCCTGTGGAACCTCCCCCAGTTCATACAGTCACTCAGCAACTGTGCCCCGCCCCCTCCCAGTTGTGCAGCCTTGAACAGGGTTCCTGAACTCTTTATGCTTCAGTCCCCTCATCTGTAAAATGTGAGTTTACATGTGAGTAAATACCTTTCAAGGGTGTAGAAGAGTGCTTGGTCCCTGAGAAGCACCGTGCTCTTAGCTGTTGTCATTATTAGTCACACCAACAGTGGTAGCAGTATTGTTACCTTCCTGAAGACTCTAATCCAAAAGGCAGCCACGGGTCTCTGAGTCCCAGCCCTAGAAAGAGAAGCGCAGGGACTCTTGCTCAGGGCTCGGGGGAGGACGCAGCCCAGTCCGGGAGCCCTGGAAGGCTGTCGGGTGACGGGTGGGGCAGGAGACGGGCCCCCTCTCCCTGCGACAATCGCCGGCTTCCTTCTAAGGGGGTCCCTTACCCTTCAGCACAGGATCCAGTGAACTCTTCCTTGATTTGAGTTACATTCTCCTCTTCCGTACACATTTTTGCTGGAGATAACAGCCGCTTGGGAAAACCATAATGCAGATACTTACTTACCACAATAAGTAGTTTATTCCTTGCAGGTCACCTCTCTGTCACCTGGTTATATTCCATAAAATAAACAAGCTGTTGAAACACAGTAGATAAGGGTTGTTGTTTTTTTTTTTTTAATCTCAAGCAGATGAAGTAAAAATGCATTTTGTTTTCCAGTATTGCTGGTCTCCTACAGGACAGTTTAGGAGGTCATACATGTTTTAACTCAGCAAAAATGGTGTTTGTGTGTAATTTGGGTATATATTACTAATATGTAATTATGTACTAATCAGTCTGTTTTCTGGGAGAGATCCAAGCTGGCTAGAGCTGACTGCAGGGAAGGGAAGAAATCGAGCCTAACTTCAGGGAAGGGACTTGTTTCTCCCTAGATGGTGTTTAAGACATTTAGGGTCTGACTTACCTGTGGCTTAATCTGAACGTTCACTGGCAGGTTGACTTACGATTCCCCAGGGATGAAGCTCCTTCAGGCAAAGTCATTACATCATGATGGCTGATAAGATCACAAAGGGAAAGAACATCTGTTAAGTCAGGTGTACTCAGACCCAGAACTTCTCTGTATCCCTCCCCATCCCAGGGGCCACAGGTGAAAAGCTGAGAACGCGTCCTAATGGACCTTCTGTCACTGGCGTCGGCACTCTTCCCCTCAGACGAATTTCTTTCCTCTCCTACTTCAAATACACAGTATCATTTCACCACCATCCTCCCTCTGAAGGCATTTGGTTTCAAGTTGTCCACTTCCATTTGTGGAAAAGATTGATTTATTCACCAGATACACACTGAACATGTATTATTGTGTCAAACAGTACGCTGGGTATTCAGTCCTCTGTGATGAACAAGACCAGTGTGGTCACTGCCCTCATGAAGCTTACAGTCTACTAGTTGTGACTGATGTTCATCAAATGAGCAGGCAAATGTGTAATGACAAATTGTAAGTACTATGAGAAAAGAGAGACGAGACACTCTTGAGGAGAGTGGAGTACCTGCTGGGGGTTGGAGTCCTCTGGGGTGATATTTAGGAGTCCTAAAGAGTGAAAGAGAGCTCACCATGTGAATCGCTGTGGGGAGAACCTTCCGGGCAGAGTCGTCAGCAATGACATACGTCCCAGGTTACAGAATGAGCTTGGCATGTTTGAGGAACTGCACAAAGACCAGTGTGGGTGGGGAATAGGGGGTGAATGGAGATGAAGCTGGGGAGGCTGGCAGGGGCCAGATCATGCAGGCTTTTGTGGGCCATGTTAGTAATTTTGTATTTTACTCTTAAAAGCGGTAAGAATCCACTGAAAGTTTTAAGCAAGGGAATGACGTGATCAAATCTGTCTGAAAGAGACTGTCGTGGATGCTGCGTGGAGAGTCACTAGAGGCAAGAAAGAGCGGAGTGGGTCATGTAGTAGCCCAGTGAGGAACAAGAGCCCGGCAGGCCCATCCCTTGGGTGTGGTAACTAGGTTAGCTGTCCTGGGCTCCGAACTCAAGGGAGGGTGTGTGGTTCACAATATACTGCACATAACTTCTGTCCAAACAACACGGAAATGCAGTTTGGAATTTCCTGTCTTTACCAGTGTCCTCAAGGGTCTATGAAAGGTGCCTGCACCGTGGCCTCCTTTTAAATGTGCTTTTTGCAGGCAGCCCACGTGGGCTGCATCCTTCCAGGACTGCCCTGGATCTTGAACTAGGATGGTGAAAGGGGTCACGAGTTGACAGAGTCCATGTATATTTGAAGATGAGACTAAGCCTTGCAGGTGGATTGTATTGTGAGATGAGGGAGAGAAAGGAGTCAAGGACAACACCCAGTGATGGGAAGATAAGGAAAGAATACAGAATAGGCTTGGGGAAGAACAGGTTTCTGTTTGGGGCTTGTTAAACTGAAGATCTGAAGATGCCAGTGACCTGTCTGAGCAGAGATACCGAGCAGGCAGGTGGACACATCAGCACAGAGCCATAGCACAGAGCTCGGCAGAAGCACCTGGGAGGACTGTTGTTGTAGAAAAGACCATAAATAGACAAGAACACCTAGGAGAGATGATGAAGAAAGAAAATGACCCAGCCCTGAGGAGGGCTACATTGCGAGGTCAGGTAAAAGAAGGAACCAACGATGTAAACCGAGGACTGGCACGGGGGAGAATAAAGAGCAGGAGGATGGAGCGTCAGGGAGGCCTAGAGCCCAGCTCGTTTCGGGGAGCAGTCAGCCATGTGAAATGTGGTGAGATAAAGCCACGATGACACTGCGAGGTGTCCTCTGGATTTGACGGCAGTAAGATCATGGGCGAACTCGAAGAGAGCAGTTGCACTCAGATGAGGATGAGAGAGGGCAGGTGGAGGAAGCCAGTTTTGGAATAAAAGGCGCTTCCCTTTTCTCATGACAGCCATTGGGCCTAGGGACGTTGTTTGGAAAAAAGGGCTGCAGAAATCCCAGCCCACATGGCTAATTTTGTCTTTCTAGGATGCGTCCCTGTATTTCTAATTCCAGTTAGAACATCTCCTACAGGAAAAGTGTGTGAAGCTCATCCTCCTGGGCAAGAGCTCTGAAGCGAACACAAGCACATGCTTTAGCCAGTGGCCAGGTTCAAGGGAAAAAAGACAGGGATGGGGGAAGGGCGGCTGAAGTAAGGTTCCAAGGAACTAGAACTAAGTGTGGTTAATTCCTCTGGTTACTGCATGTCAAAATTCCACAAAAACTAGAGTTTGAAATGTTACAGAAGTGCTCCCCCTGCCCTCCACAGTCTGTCACCCTGACAGGCAGGTGAAAGGTGAGAAAGGGGCCGCTTGACACCTGCCCTTGTTGCTTCACGGAGCTTTGCCGGCTCGTGCTCGGGGCGGACACCGCACGTCTGCTAGTGAACGAAAGAATTCTTGCCCAGAAAAACGAAAACTGTGGACTCACATATATAAACGTCCATCTTTAAATCACTTTGCTTTATGATCTAGTTCGTTTTAATTTTGGACTAATATTCTTAATCAGCAGTAGCTTAAAACATTTTAGCTTTTTAATCTTTCCCATTAAGTATTTAATGATCTATAAATAAATGCTTGCAAAATATTTATCATAAGAGATTCTTTTGTATTTTAAATAATTTCACCTAGTTGATCGTTATATGTAAGACATTCAGAAATAAATGCTAAAAGTATTCTCACCAGTGCTGCGGTCTCATTCCTGTTGGTCAGCAGTGGCCACTGAGCATGTCCATGTCACATGCTTTAATCCTATTTGCAAGGCGACATGTTAGAAAAATTTTCTAAGTAAAAAGAGTCAAGAAACCAGCATTTTCCTCCTGGCTGACCCACTCTGTAACCTTGGTCAAGTTACTTAACCTCTCTCTGCTTCAAGTCCTCCCCTCAGGAAATGGTATGACTAGTATCACCCTCCCTCTGTCTCAGAACTGACTTGACTCTGCCTCATGTGATGTCATGGTGGGAAAAAAGAGCTATTAAAATGTGAAATATTATCACCCTGGTCCAAGTTAGAGATTGCTATTGCACAGCGACCCTCCAGTGAAGACCACTTTTAACTCTTTCAGACAGTATCTTCCTTTATGGGTGGAATTGCCACCTCCTATCATGTTTCATTTTAAAACTAACCCAGCCAGAAGCAGAACACATTTGAATTTTCATTGAAAACATGTGCATTTGAGGATTTCAGAATATTCCTGGAGGTAACCAATGATACGTGCAGCAGAGCAACACCTTCCACCCCACCCCTCCGCCCCGGGAATCACAGCATGGGGGAATAGCTGACTTACTGCACTTATTTAGAACCTCACCTGTGTGTTTGCTAGTTCATGTAGCCAGATCATTAGTAGACAGCCACCGAGGCACAGAAGAAAAATCTGACTCAACTACGTGTGAAAAATCATTACAACTCTCTCACTGCAAGGTGCTTTTTTCCCTTTGAAGTGCACGTGTCACCTCTACGAGGTAAACGTTGCATCCCTACCTTATAAATGGAGAACTTCAGGCTCAGAGAGATTGAGTAGTTGGTCCCAAATCAGATTGCTGGTAAATGCCGGAGGCAGGAGTAGATTTCAGGTCTTTTGATGCTTTTCTTGGATGCTTTCACCAAGTGAACATAATGGATAGCAATCTATGGAAAGAAGGAAGAGAACAGTGTGCCCTGAATACTCCGTTCAAATTTCACATCAAAGGAAAAATTTATTCTATAACTGATCTGATATTCTTGGTAGCCAGAATTATTGGAACTGTCAACCCTGCTGCCCTCTTTCTCTCGTCTCTAATAAATCAGCATCAAAGGTACCAGATAAGAATCCTCAACTTTTAAGCAAAGTAGACCCTTGACATTCACAGACTGAGTATGCAGAAGGGCCACAAATAGTCTCTGACATGTTGTAGTAGCAGGAATTTGAATCACATGCACTGAGGCTGGTGTGTGGGACTGAAATCTCTTTAGCCAGTGAGGGAGCCTTGCTGCCACCCACCATTCAGGTACCAGTATGGCTTTGTTCCTCATGACTGTGTAACAGTTCTATGGAGAACAGTTATGCTCTCCAATAATATTTCAAAATGTGAGGATTTCTACAGGCCTTTGGACATACTCCTCACAAATATCAAGGGATCACTGTATTGGATTTCCCTGCTTTAATTTTGCTTTAGTGGCCAGAAACTCAAGAGCAATGTTAGTGCTCATAGGAGTAACTAAACATATCAGATTCCTAACATATCTGTCCTCTTTCTGCTTGGCTTCTGACCAGTGGTTTCTTTAAAAAAATAAAAAAATCTCATTTTTATCATTCTAATTTGTATACATTTTGTTGTAACTTGTCTCAAATCCTTTCTTAGAGATCTTAAATCCCAAATAAGTGTTGAAACTAGGTTTCCTAGGAAGAATCATTTGTCTTAGTCCCAGGCCTTCTATAACATCAGAACTATTAAAAAGAATTACAGACGATGATTTCTAAAAGATAAGACAACATTTTTAGACGAATTGATCCAAATTCTGTATCTGGTGATGGCTAAGAATTATGCCTTCAGTGACACCTAATGGTTAAGACAGTCTCTCAGCTTCCTCCAGAGGACTCAGACCAGTATTTCGCAAAACTTGGTTCTCTGACAATTTTTCAAATCATCTCGGTGTCTGTTAAAAATGCAGAGAAATTCCTGGACCCTGTGCTCTCTGGGTCCAGCCAATGTGGCATCCGTATTACTCACAACTACCCGCGGAGATTCAGATGTACACTCGAGTTTGAGAACCACTGATTCACGTGCTGCCAAGTCAGCTATCCACAGAAGACTGTCAGACCTGATGACACCCACGGAAGTTAGAAGTGGCCAAGGCGAAGGGATGGGTTAGGCCGGGGCTTTGCGACGACCTTCCCGATCTGTATCAGTGAGGGGAGGTGGGGGGTGGGGGTAAAGACCGCGGGGAACACAACCCCCCGGAATAAGGTCGGCTGCCCTCTTGGCAGTGAGGGTGGGTGTGGCAGTGGTTTGGGGTCTTGAAAGCAGACGCCCCTGGTCCTCTGCTCTCGTCCTTGGCGCGGAGGGAGGTCGCGGGAGCGTGGAAAGCCTGGGCGGCGCGGCTGCTAACGCCTGTGCTTCCTGCTCCACAGACGAACCCAGCTCCTGGAGTTCTCCCGCTGCCGCCTCCCCAGGTCTGCCGGAAATAGGCGTCTCCCTGGAGGACGTCCTCTCTCCATTCTCTCCATCACATCCAGCCCCACCCTCCGACCCTTCCCACCAGATAAGCCCAGACCTGACGTGGGATATCAAAAGGGAACACGACGTTAGGAAACCAAAGGAGCTTTCAGCCGGCGGCCAGAAGAAGCAGCGCCTCGGGG